CCCTTATCACACCGGAGGATGCACGACAGAACACTGAAAACCACATATAGAAAATAAGCACATAGAAACCGATATTACGTTTTTAATTCACCCAACAACAGTTTATAAGCCCGTTTTTTTAAGATACCCAGTGAGGGCTATAGTGTTCCTCTGCGGTGTTCCCCCGCACACAAGCATCCTAAAAGCGCCTCACCTCTCAGACTCTCCCCAGATTTGCTCCGGTGGCGATGAGATCCAATCCATATAGGCTGTTTCCTTCAGTCAACGGGCATTCATGCCGGTAAACCGCTGCTTTAAATCACCAGTCCATTGTTCATTTTGACAGAAAATACAACCACACAGTCAGGAACATGTCATAGTGTACGCGCTCGAAGCACCGCGCTCAGGTTAGGAGTGGGTGTGTGCGGATGCGCGCCCTGAGAATAAATGCTGGATGTCACAGAGCCCCGTCCCACAGAGCAGAGCCCCTGCTGTTCAACCTGAACACCAGCACGAGCTGAGGGGAACAATGAGCCGCTTATAGTAAAACTGCATTCTGAGTAAAAATAATGTTCATTAATTTCCCGATTTGACTGAAAATTGTTGATTTTCCAAGAATAAGGTTACCATTACCATATAGGCAAAATGTTGATTAATACTCCAGTTTACTCTGAGACAGTAGATCAAACCGTTTTCATGTAATCCTTTTATTTATACATCACATATACTGAGGTAGCTGGACCAATCAAGCTCGGACTAAAATATCGAAATTACATCTCTCTTTGATATTGACTACAATTATTGCTACAATGCATCAATTCATTATCAAGCAAATGACTTGTGCTTGCAGGGGTGATGCAATACATATTTCAATTGACTTTTGATTTTTCAATCAGAGAAATATATATATTTTTAAGATGCTAACAGAAAAGCCATGTAAGGTTGCAGTCTGTTTTAATCCCATGACATGATCTCTCCTCTAGTTTCTAATTTTAACTGAATTATTGCGAAATACTTGGAAAATGTTTTCTGCACTAACTTTTGCTTTATGCATACTTGGCAAAAATTAGTTGAAACAATGTGGTATTCAGGGCAGAGAGTAATAAAGGCTTTACAGCACACATTGTTCAGATTTTGCTTGATTATTAGTATTTTATTTCATTATTCTACACTGATTTAGATAGAGTTGAGTTTTGGGAGTCGGACTCAACGGTTATTTATATGAAGTTGTAGAGGCTTTTGATTGAAACATTGACTCGAGGGTCCTGCTCTGAAAGAGAAGGGGATTAAGGGGGACAAAGTTAATAAGATTATATCGTTGTTTGGTTTAGCAGTCAGTAGTAAAAGGGTGTGTAGAGGGGAAGAGCTTTGTTAATCTTGTTAGAGGAAACAAAGCCTGTGTGTAGTTTCCTCTCAAAATGAAACAGATTTGAATGATTAGAGTGAGTTATTATCTGAGCCTGTGGCACCATGAGCCTGAAGGATGAAGAATTATAACTTCAAGCTAGTAAAGGACCAAATATATCAGGCTGAGTTTAGTTCAAGTACTTCTTTACGAGAAGCCTTGTGCATTCTTATTTCTAACAACATACACTCACATCAGTCCTAAAAGGCTTCTCAGCTCCTTGATACTATCATGTGCGGTGACGTGGAGTTTATTGTGACTTGTTTTTGTTAACTATGGCGCCCTCTTCTGGAGTGGGGGTGTTAAATTCAACCACATGTGATTTAGTGCTTCAAAGGTCAAACAAACCAAAGCCTCTGTAAGCGCAAACCAGTGCTGAAGGCTGCTGCATGATCATCAGATATTTGTAGGTACATTAAGATATGTGTAATAAATTTGTGAGTGAGTGAGGGAATATGTGTTTTTATTTGGGCAAAGGTACTCCTTAAAGTTAGGGTTTAACAATTGGTTAAGATCAGCGTAGAATCTTTGGTTAAAATGGTTGTCTTTAAGTTGTGAATCCAGTCCTTGGATCTGTGCATAGAGCTTGAATTAATATTCATATAAATGATACATTCAAAAATGTTTTCCACCTGTTTTTATTAAAATAAGGCTACTGTGCTATTGTATTTAACATCTACTCTTGATACATTTCCTGTTGGATTAATATCAATGCACTACAGGGGAGACAAACATTTCTTGCTCATTATTTACAGATCACAGATTGTCATTTACAGAATAAGTAACAGCGTGTTGAGATTTGCAGAGATGACTAAGGTATTAATTAGCTTTATTCGTTTATTTTTAAGCCAGCAAGTTTAAAATTATCTTGTCGTCAGCCAAATTAGCTGCAATGACTTCATCAAACACTAGATGTCCTCATAAACCTGCTTTGAACTCACGCATTTAGCACTCAACATCTCCAACTATACACAGTAATACTTCAATTCAACAACACATCAGTCCTCTTAAAATAATCACTCCAGATACAGAAGGATCTTGTGTTTCTTAAAGGTCCCCTATTTATACTGTTTTTCATCAATACATTATAGGTCTCAGATGTATACAAAACATGTCTCTGAAGTGTTTGGCTCCAAATACCAAATAGATCATGCATTGTAGCATCCCATAATCCCCTCTGTTTCAGCCCTGTTTCAAAAGTGCTGATTCTCTGTCTGTTACTTTAGATGAAAATAAGGAGCCACTCCCCACTCTCTTTACACAGAGGGGATACATGTTTATGTAGAAAAGACATGAAAAAGTGGATTTTGCATAATAGGTGACCTTTAACACCTTCTCTCAAAGAATACCCGGGGTACCGACTTGACCCCCAGAGGTTCTGAGATTAACCAGGGGACGGGGGCTATTGTGTGGTCTTTGTCCATCATCATCTCCTCAGCCTGGGCCATCGCCTCCAGCTCGGGGCAGGTTTCTGGGTACCAGTCTACAATGAATTTATCCTTGGCCTCACAATAGTTCACCACCACTTCCTCAGGCTGCTCCCCAAACACACAGTCTGCAGAACAGGAGGGAGGAAAGAGAGTGGATGAAAGAGAAATGCTGTTAGTGATGATATCCACATAGTAGGGGAGACATGGGTGGATAATCTGAAGAATGGGCCTCAAAATGTTTGCGTTCAGGACCTGCACTCATCTGCTAATAATAAAACATTTGAAAGTCACCAACATGTTTCGTCAGGCAAACATTTCAGTTTTATAGTAGCTCATCAAATGCAACATACTAGTCTTTGGACTAAACATACAACACATCTGTTAAAAATGTAAAAGGATTAACAAATGTTCTATTAAAAGTTAATGTTTTTTCAAATCTTGAATTAAATGTTCAAATTGTTTATATTCTTACTTTAAGATAAGATGGACTTTTATTAATCCCTTGTGGGGAAATTGTTTCTCTGCATTTGACCCATCCTAGTGTTAGGAGCAGTGTGCTGCCATTTTGAACGGCACCCGGGGAGCAGTGTAGGGAACGGTGCCTTGCTCAGGGACACCTCGGTAGCACTTGGTCTTGCCGAGACTTGAACTGGTGACCTTCCAGTTGCCAAGCCAACTCCCTATCGACTTCGCCACCACCGCGAACTATAGCATTTTAAATTGGCTACCAAACCCTGTGATGGGACCATAGTATGTTTTGCACACATGCATAATGACTTTAATCATGTATCACCTAATTATAGAAGACATTAGTATACATTCAAACAAATCTATAGCTGTTAGTTTAACTGTTCATTTGCTGCTCGTGAAATATTTAACAGAAATGATGATAGAGAAATGAGGCTGAGGGTGAAAACTGTGCCACTACTGTAACCCCATCCCCTTACCTCTTACTTAAAAAGGACCTACAGCACAGAAACAAACCTGCAAAGTCATGGATGAGGTCTATGATGAGGTGGCCGATGATGGCATAAAGAACACCCAGCACCACGAAGACGGCCATGATCAGGTAGAGGACATATGGAGGCAGGTTGACAGCGTCCCGAGAGGGGGGAATGTAGCTCTCAAACAACACCGTCCCATCGTCTTCTCTGTAAGGAAAGTTTGAGCTGTCCTCCGTCCACTCCATCGCTGATAGTCTTCAAAGTCAGCCTGGGAATCCTCTTAATGTCTCAGAGTCATTACTGTAAGGAAAGGAGCCGACACATCTTTTCAACTCACAAAGTGATCAGGAGGAAGTACCTCATTGCTCCACAATATTTAACACAATGAAAATGCATTAACCTTTCAAACGTGTAGCTTTCAGATCAACTTCCACTTACAGCAAGGAAGCAGCAGGCAACGACCTTCCAAAACACCGGGTGTCTTTACATTCTTGTGAACACCAAGCGGATTTAAAATCATAAAAAGTACCACTACATCTCTCATCCTGACAAGTTTTTAATTTTGTTTCCCTGTGTAAATGTTCTGTCTGCCTGTGGAGATACGCAGATGGGAATAGATTAGCTGCAGCAGCTTGAGGCAGTGAAGGTCAGAGGAACGCCTCCACCAGCACAGTCTGTTAATGAGGTGAGGGATATTTACCTGATGAATAGAACAGCATCTATGTATGTATACGCATGTTTGTATGTATGTATGTATGTATTCATTTATGTATCTATCTATCTATCTATGTACAGTATCTATGTATCTATGTACGTACCTTTCTATTTTCTTCCTCTTACAGCTTTATCTGACAGTATTTAATATAACTAATGTACAGTGACCCTTGTCATTATGGATAAGGTCACTGCCCCTGACGTACCCAGGTATTACAGGAAGGTAAGATGGATTAAAGGACACAGACAAGACTCTCTCGTATGATTCAGGTGTTTACTAAAGAGAAGCTTAGTCCAACACCAGAACAGACAAAACTGATACACTTTTTTCTTCCGCGACACATTACAGCAACATGTCTGACGTTATGGAAAACTTCAGGTTATGACTTTGACCAGTCACGGTGAGGAAATAAACAGATTGTAATTCTCATACAATTTTATAAAACTTTCTTTATATTTTCATTCAGCTTTTCATATATACTGTATAAATACTATTTAATATATAGTCTTTGGATTTACGCTTTAGTTAATGAAATATAGTGTATTTGTTTAGCTCACATAAAAATATTTAAAGTTTGTAGAAAATGTATGAGACATTATGGAACATGTAAGTTATCAAAGTAAGCATTTGTTTCGTATTAAGATAAGTACAAACTTTACGTTCTATTAAGCCACATGTGTTTTTTATAAAACGAAATTACCTTAGCATTAAGCATCACTACAGCAAGAGACAACTCTGATCAATGCATTGAAATCAGATCAATATGCTAAAACAAAAAAAGTAATCTGAACTCAGAGGGAGGTGGCATAGGAGGTCATGGGGCAGGTGAAGGTCACACTATGAGCAGATATTCTTTTTTCTCCGGGGTATGGAGGCTGGACAGATGGACGGTGGTAGTCCACATCTTCCGGATAGAAACCTGGCAGAAGGCCCTCTTTTTCCATCTCCATCCTGTCTTTCCCCATCAGCTTACTGCAAGCGCTCAGTCGGTGCTCTTCTGCTGTTTCCGCTCTCCCTTCCTCTGAATTATCCTCCACTATTTTGGGACCAAGGAACCAGTCTGTAGAGAAACAGAGAAGAAATTAGAGAGTAAAACAAGAGGATTTGTCTTTGACTCCTAGTGTAACTTTGAAAGGGGCACTGCACCAATTTTACATATAAAGTGCGGTTTTACTCATCAGTGATCCTTAAGAAGAAAATAGAGATTTTCTTCTAATGGGAGCTCTCTCAAGTAAAAAAAGACTACACATTTTTTAAAAGAAGTGGGCATTTATCAGGCAGAGGCGGTCAATTAAAAGACGCTTTTGAGACGCATTGTTCTTAATTTAGGACTAAAAGTCTGGATATCTTGGCCCTCTCCACTTTGTAAAGTACCACTTAAAGTTGTTATTTTAGGAGCAGTTATTCACTTAAGTCTATCACATTAATGGTATAACATGGAAACAGATGGGAAGGTGGATTTCAGAACACAAAATATCAGGGTAAATGTTACGGAAAGTCATTTTTTCACATTGTCAGGGAAAGATAACACACTGATGTAGTCATGGCCCAACATCTCGGGGGGGAAAAAGTGACACCGGGGTGAAAAGAGTGATTTGAAAGGAAGAGGACGACACCAGCCAGGCTGTTACCTGCGAGGTCATGCATCAGGTCATTAATGAGATGTCCTACTATGGCGTAAGTGGCCACTATGACCAACACCACCGCAGCTACGATATAGACTACATTGCGCTGCAGAGTTATAGCATCTCTCGCCGGCGGTATGTAGTCCAAGAAATAGGCCTCCTCTTCTTTCCTGCTGGTCACCTGCAGGATCTTCCGGTGCTCAAACACCCACTGTGAGATGTTCAGGAGCAGGGCTCCTCCTGTGGCGTTCAGGGACACAACTGGTTGTTTGTTCATGGTTTAGGTTGCTGTGGTAGAGTTTAAAAGTGGATACTGTCTTTCAAAAGATAGTCTGTTCAAGCAACGTGGTGAAGCTTTTTGGATGTTTCTTTGGGGGATGTATTGCCTTTCTTCTTCACGGCACTCTGAAAGCTTAAGGGGGATAAAGGTGCATCGGGGACGAGGAGGGAAAGTGAGAAGAAAATTTTAACATTTTATTTTCTGAAGTTGGTAAGTATGGCCTGATGGATGAGGGATGGAAATGTCAATATGGTCCAAAAAAGAGAAGATGGTCTCTTATGTGAGTGATACAGAAGTACGCCAACAGTGCTAATCTTTCGTCTAGACCTAAATCTCAGAATCCCTCCTTGTAGTATTTTGAGGGGCCCTCGGTCACACCATCGGTGGGGAGCAAGGAGTGTGAGACGGACGAGAGGTAAATATAGGACAGACAGAGCTAATAGGATTGAATCTGTCACAGAGCAATATCAGCTTTCCATCTGTAGGGATTAGAGATATGAGTGAGGAGAGGTGGACAGTAATACGACAAAGAGGCTTATGGTCCTCCATGAACATGCTGCATATATATATTTATATACATATACTATATTAGAGTAAACCATCTTTCTCTGGGCTTTTAACTTGCATCACTTTATGGATATCCTGAGCTTTCAATCCACCCATCCACTTCTTATATTCTATAAATGTCCTTTCACATAATTGACTGATATATTTTCATGGCTCATTTCTTGCTTGATAACACAGCAGATGGTGATATTTCAAAGTGCGTCCAATAAATATCCCCACGGGTAGTAAAACTACATCATCAAATGCAACTTATGAAAGACTCATGAAAATATGTTAAGGAAAGAACATATCTCCCTGTCTTGCTTAAATTATGAGAAGCTATAAGAGAAGACAAGGAGCAATTGTTGATGAAATGGGGAAGTTTTATGACTCCTTACCTTGGGATAAAGAGTTGAAAAAGCTCCTCAGTTATTTTCTTTGACTTGCAAATGAAAGGATTTCTGGATTGGTGAGTGTACACAGGCGTCTCTGGAAATAACCACAAAACACATGTCAGAAATGTATGTCACACAGAGAAACAGGCCAAACAAAGCTTCTGTCATATCACAGCAGAACCCACCGTCAAGGATAAAGTGGGCAGGTAATTAATCTAAAAATATTTATTTTCTCGTTTCAGTTGTTCTCAATCGAGCATCAGGATGTAGATTGCTTCGTAGATTTATTCTTTTGGTGGCTCGGGAATCCTACAAAACCTGGACATGAGAAATGTCCATTCTATTATGGTGAGGGCAATATTCGCCAATAGGGTGAACCAAGAGACTGGGTGCAGACCAAGGTAGAGGTTCTCTGTCATGTTGTGCAGAAGATATAAAAGCAAGATTTAAAAGAAGGTTAAACTTGAACGAAAATCCAGTTTCCAGTAGAGGAGGAACCAGGTGACAAAGAGACAAAACAGAAGGATTGGTGTAGTGAAAAAGCAATGTGAGGTCTCTGCATGTTCCTCAGGATGAGGATCTCTGGAATGTCAGGCTGTCTATCAGTATTAAGATGTTCTTTCGTAATCCATGACAGGATTTGCTGGATGCAAGCCACACTATTATCTGAGTCAGCAGACAGCAAAACAAAAGACGTAGGTCATTAAGCATCACTTGCAAAGCCTGTTGAAACTGTGTGGTGCAGTTTCAACAGATTATTCACACTGTAAACCACAAATACGACTTAAGGGCAACTCAAAGACAATAAAAAGGTGCAATTCAATGCATTTACCTGTGCTAAGTTATTCAATAAATCCAGGCATTACCTGTAAGAAGGACTCCTTTCTTGATTGGTTGCAGGATCCCTTCAGTTTAGTTAGTTTGCAAGTAGGTGAAACAGAAAGATCATAAGCAGACTCAACAGAAAGCACTACTAGCTGCCCTTACTCACTAGTCCTAAAACAAAAAACAAAACAGTTTTAGTCAGTCCATTTCAACCCTCAGGCCGGGGTGACGATCTTCTTGGGTTTGTCTTCTACATCCGTCTGCCACTTCATGTAGGAGTCGCCCAGGATGAAGACCCAGAAGACGACAGTTAGAGAAGTGTTCACGACTATAATACCTAAGATTAGAGGATGCATCATAGCAGCAAACTGGGTGGACTCTAAAAGAATCTGTCACCTCAAACTAACTGTGTGTCTGCTGTGCATGCGAAGGTTTGTCTGATTTAATCGCATCTCATGCCCGCTCTAAGGCTGCACTCTCCACCCCTCTCCACTCTCGCTTCCCACTGGTCACCATGTGGCAGCAGCAACTTAATCCTCTTCAGCTGCTTTGATACAGAAGATAGCTGCATCAGATTTAGGTTTACAAATGTTTATCCCTGAGATGTTGAGGCCTAATTCACACAATTTGAAGAAAAGTAGAGTGGTAAGTGACAGTGTTTTTAGAAACTGCCCAGTGACTGAGAAAAAACATAATCTTTGTTCTGAACTTTATGTCCTCTCTCAGATATAATCCAGAAACTAATCAAGACTGTAGACATCACATGGAGGAGTTTTTAATCTTACACCAAACAAGACAGATGGCCTTAATCAAACCCCATGGGCCACAGGAGCCCAGACAACACTTCAAGATTTCCAGCATTAACCCAGTTTTATTTTCAAAGTAATCCCCTGTAGCACGATTTCATGGGTGACATTAGAAAGGAATAGGCACAAAGGTGAAATTCAGTGTTTTGAAAAAGTCACTAAGGAGATAAAGTTGAGATAAGTGTGTCCACCAGGTGGCAGTCTGTGCAAAGACACGCCGAGTAAAAATAACTAGTTGTAGTATGCTAGTAGCAAGTGTGTGGCATTAGCCTAGAATTCACTTTAGCCTATTCAGTGGCAGAAATTCGAAAGTGCTTGTTTCCACAAAGACAAAAGTGTATTTGACACATTACACACAACCCAGAAGTCCATAATCTGCTCTTTGGACCGCTCTCCCTTTACAGTTTCCCCCAGCAGACATGACACCTGGTCTGAACTTTGAGACTAGCTAGATAGTAAATTGGAGCAGCTGTTTCACAACAGATCAAAAGGCAACGGGCTGACACTCCTTTTAATTATCTCAAACTCCCTCGGTGTCAGTGGAGAGGACACATTATTCTAACATGCCAAGCTTCACAGCTCATTGTGTTTAGAAGAAAAAATACTTCTGGTTGTATATTTCTTTCAAAAAGAGGTCAAACAATAGGATTTCAACAATGAGGCCGCCGGTGGAAGTCAGCGTGTTGATCGTCTCTCTCTTGGCTCCTGGAGTTTTGTACACTATTAACAACATCCCGGCGCTTCAGGAGTAAGTGAACAAAATCTCTTTGATATTTCCACTATCGTAAGGGCCTGATGTATGGAGGCAGTGCACAGTAAAAGGAGCTGCTGATGTTAATAGGCTTATGAAGATCTTCCGGCGCAGACTAAAAACTCGTCTCTTTCGACTCTACTTCGAGCAATACAATTACTAACAAGGCACTGGCTTATCTAAAGCTCGTTGAGTAGCACTTGAAATGTGTTGGCTCTCTGAAACCTGATGTACTTATGATTCCGTTTTCTTCAAGTTTGTATCTTCATGGTCGAATGCACTTATTGTAAGTCGCTTTGGATAAAAGCGTCAGCTAAATGCAATGTAATGTAATGAACAGGTCCAAGCCTGAGGGAAAAGGAGGTTTTAGTGAGGGCGTGTTTATCCTGAGGTAACCTTGTTTAAAGTCACTGTGCAGGTTCGAAAAGCCCACAGAAAACAAGATTCACTTAAGCCTTCAGGATTAAATGTATTACATTTTGAAGAAAATATTTTACACTTCTTAAAGTCAATGTAGATACATTGCCTACATTGTTTCAAGGCTTTAGAACTGAATCACACACACTTTCATCAAGGTAGCTTGTTCCAAGACCAGTGACACATACTGTAGAGCAGCAACCTTTAAAAGTAGCCTAATGACCACATATTGAATGGTGTACAAAACTTGACCAGTGTTATTTCTAGACCAAACTAAGAATATCACCAAAGAAAACCTTGAATTTAATAAAAAATCTTCGAATCTGATGTCTGAATGAGAGCAGGATGGGAGCCTTGAAAAGGAGGATTATGAGAGTTCAGGCCCATTTTATATTTCATATTGTTCTAGAAAGGAAACAAAGGGAATAACAGGTTAATACAAATGTTTCTTGGTTTGTCTATTCACATTCACTTTAACCTCTTTGTTTCTGATGAAAGTATAAATGTGATGAACATCATTTATAATCAGGGCTGCAGCTAAAGTTTATTTTCGTTTGGACTAATCTACTGATTATTTTCTAGATTTTTGAGTTCTTACTTGATTAACAAAATGCCAGTTGAAGAAACGTAGTATGATCATTTCCTTAAACACAATTGGCAAATTGATTTATAATCTCTCATTATTCCTCAGGCCTCTTTCGATCCTGGGATTGGGAATGTCCATCCTGGGATTTGTACTCCTTCTCCTCCGCCTCACTGTGTCAAACCAGACGAAAGTAGACCCCTTGTTCTATGGTAAGCCTAGAACCAGCAAACACTTCAACATATTAGTAAAATGAAGGGGTCGTTTTGTTCATTGTGGCTCTTTGTGTTCAGTATTTGCAGAGTTTTCCTTCACCTGCATGGTGGGTCTAACTAATGCTTTAGAGCAGGATGGCTTCATCTCTGGCTTCATGGGCTTCTACCTAAAGAAGGTGAGAGCTAACCATTTCCCTTCCTTTCTCTACTTCTTTATAATGCTTTGTATTTTCTTTACATGTCAAAACAAAAGCTAAAATTCCTTATGTGATCTGTCTCTTTAGGGTGAACCCCATCTAAGCACCGCCTATGCTGTGATGATGTCATACTGGGACGGCATCGTACACTTTATCCTCTTCCTCACCATCATCCACCGCATGTTCAGAGGGTAAGCTGTCAGCAGATAAAAAACGGTCTGCTCTGTGTTCAGTGAGTCCTCTAAGAACAACTGTTGTTTATTTGTTCATGCAGGAAGTCCTATCGTAGCCTGGGGCTGCTGTGGGCAGGCTCCTCAATCGCCAATCAAATTGTTCACATCCCAGGAGTGGTGATTGGTGAGATATGCCACATTTGATTTAGCACATCCTCTGTCTTGTTTCTGTTTGTTTACTACAAGTGATGTTCCTATTTATGCAGGTAAATACGGGTCTAACATTCGACCAGGTTTTTGGAGGAATGTCCCCTTCTTTTTGGTCCCTTTCTGGGCGGCCTCTGTTCTCTTTAGCAGACCCAGAGAGATGCCGGTCGTCACTGCAGACAAGGTAAGTCCCAGCAGATTTACAACAATCTGTGTATCTGTAGAGTAGTGGTGTCCAACAATTGTTTGTCTCATTTGAGCTTCTGTCAGTGTACAGAAGATATGAAAATGTACAAAATTCATATTTACAGTAAGAAAAAAGCAAGATTAAACAACAGTTTGTAATTTCAATAACAGTTGGTTTATTATTTCATCTCCCTGACAAATGCGATTATCTGGGTCTTTACCCCAAAGTTGGAAACCTATGGCACAGAGGATCAACTAACTTAACTAATGCTGTTTTTGTTTTGTAAATGCAACTTATTCATTCACTTGTAAACCTAACTGTTTATTGAATAATCATCAATAATCACAGAAAAAAAAAAATGCAGCCTACTGTATGCAAATCTGCATATAATAATCTTGCTTTATAATGACTGTTATGTAGTAATTTAAGTATGTGGATGGACAGTACTGTTACCTATTTCCCTGTGTTGACTAGATTTCAGCAGAGCAGAAGAAAGGTTTGCTCTTTCGGCCCGTTGACCTGCTTCTGTCTCTTATGTTGCTCGGAGCCATGGCCTTCTCTGTTTTCAGAGGCTTTGTGAGTAAAACTACATGTGGGCTTTTGTATCTGTCCTGCATTACTGCTTCTGAATTAACTCACTGAGTGATGATGGTGCAGTATGGATGCTATAACCCGCTCCTCCTGCTCTGCTGCAGGTGGTGCTGGACTGTCCTCTCGACACCTGTTTCACCTACATCTACCAGTACGAGCCCTACCTCAAAGACCCAGTGGTCTTCCCCAGGGTTATGGTGAGTGTGGAGAAAATGATATCAGAATCTTAATACACTGTATCTTCTTGTTTTTAATGATTCGTCTTGTTGTGCAGATGTTGGTGTATTTGTTCTATGCGATGCCCCTGATGGCTTTCTTCACCTATGGTCTGAGAACACCTGGATGCAGCTGGATGTTGGACTGGACGATCTTCTTTGCTGGGGCCATGGCTCAGGTAACTGCAGTTATGTTTTTTGTTGCTATTAATATTCCATGCAAATACAGCATAAATACTGACTCCCCCCTGCTGTACCCCCAGAGCCAGTGGTGCCATATCGGAGCATCTCAGCACTCCCGCACTCCCTACACGTACCGAGTCCCAGCAGACAAATGGTGGCCTGTTATCACCCTCAATGTGCTGCTGGCTGCTTTGCCGGCTCTGCTGGCCCTGCGCTGCCACACCAACCCCGTTTATTTCATGAAACCTGTTCCTGAGGGACAGACCAACAAGGAGAAGAAGAAAAACTAGACCACACACCAGCCACAGACTGTCGAGAAATACTTCACGCTGTGACAAGGCTAATGTTTTCAGGGGACTCTCTTTGGCACGCAAACTGCATTAAACACACCATTTTTCAACCTGAAACCCAGAGGAGATCTAAAAACGTTACTCTCTGAGTCAACCGTTCAAATACCTAGCAGAGCGGCAGCAGCAGCACTCCCCTCACGGACTATTGGACCCTGATAAGAAGGCTGCTGATGAGGTCAGCTTTCAGGATACTCATGCAGACACCCAGTTGGTATCTTCCCAAACTGAGACTATTAGCCTGGATCAGACAGTTGGCAACGCATTACTGGAGAGCAGCCGTCACCATGGTGCATCCTTTTATGAAGATAACCACACTACAACTCCACAGCTTGAATCTTTTGTTTTCTACTGATCCAATATTCAGTCAGGGAAGACTATCACAGATTTCTGTGTTTAAAAACTGTGAATATGAGAGGAAGATTCACTGAATTCCTAAAAGGCTCAATAACTTAAGAGTTGCTGAGGTGGGTTGAAAGAGGTATTCAAGTGGAGAATTTCATAAAGGAAAAACTCCTTTTTATAAAAAGACTTTATATAGTGTCAAAATATTCGATCCACACATGATGTCACATGGGAGGCAACTAACATAACTTTGTAATGAAATGTTAAATTATTTAGTCTGGAAAATAATGAAACATGTCTATCACAATTTAAAAACAGTACAAGGTGACATCTTTTACATTGTTTTGTTTTTTCATACCAACAGCTTTTAAATGATTACCAAAATAGTGCTGTACTAATTTGATTAAGCGATTTCATCTCCAGTTGCATCTCAGAGTGGTTTTTCATGTTTTATGTTTAACTTTATTTTCAATAAAAACAAATAGATGAAACTCGGATACAAGTTATTTGCACCAGGGATTTACATTATATGTGTGTTTTACCTGATGTCTCGTTTGTCTACCTTTGAAAAGAATACACATATAATCTAGAAGATCGTATATCTAAAGTTCTGCCTTTATTCAGCACCCAGGCAGTTTGATAGGTTATCTCTTTAGCTGTCAATATTGCCTCCGGTCGCTGCTGTCATTGTACCCAAAGTGCAGTGAACCGCTGGCCCAGTTAACTTTGCTGTGAAACTGATTAGAGATGAACCCTGTGTTTGGCTGAGCGACAACATGACAGTACAAATTGTCACATGACACTGAGGTCTGCTATTAGTGGCCCAAACGTTTTTTGTTTTGGGTGCCAAAGTGACATTTTCACATGGTGGATCCAAGTCTTGTCCTTTTTTATTTTGAAGGAGGATACAGATGTTTTTGGTTGCGGAATTTGACATTTAGGCCAATTACAAAGTTAGGATTTACATAAAAGATGTATCATTAATAAAATCCTGGCTATCCATTGCCGTTAAATGGATCAATAATTTTAGACAGAAGTAAACAACCATAAAGAGAGAGGAACCATAAATATATTTCTGTTTAAATTTTTATATCATATTAAAATCAAATTCACCAAAAGAAAACGTAATGGATAATTTGACAGCAAGGTTTCTGTTGCTCCATTCTAGCTTTTTGTCTTTTATGGGCCACTCACCTGGTGGGCCGTCTTGCTCTCTTAAAATATGCTGCTCACATACACACAACAGAGATGAGAAAATTGCCTTTGAACCAAACAGGATAAAACTATTGCTCGCTGTGCAGAGTGCAATATGAAGTGTGCAGCAAAGCTCAGAAAGATAAAGCCCAAAATAAAGGGACTTGATTGAGTTTCCTCTGTTGGGGTAGCAAGGTGACACGAAAGAAACAATCTAGGGATAACAGCCCTTTCCTGTCTACAAGTAATGGATTATAGGATCACTCTCCAGTAAAACAAACCCGAGTCTACGGCTCTGTGTGAGGATTCTTAGTTACAGTGGTGCGTTGAGCTAAATGATGATGTCAGCATTTAAATTAAACCTTTGGGTCTGAAACATGAAGCCAATGCAGAAGGGCTATCAAACATCTAGCAGGCAGCATAGAAGTCTATAAGAACATTACAAAATAAACTTCTAGTTGGATTTATTGCCTTAGTAAATATTTTCTTGATAAGCTTTTTGTTGTAATCACTAGTATGAAGTCCTTCTCAATAGTATTATGTTCATTTTGTAAATTTGATCCCAATTGGAGAAAAAATGGTGACAAATCAGGGTATGTTTTAGGGCATACCATCGTTTTGATTGACTTGTCTCTAACACTCTGTTGTTCATGTTCATGAGAGTTAATTTCAAAGTATTGGTTGCCTCAAAATGTCAGCATTCAGTCCAAAAAACTAAATGGCTACTGCCAGGATGCCAAACTCAAGGCTTTAAAATCATAGTCCACAAACCACGAGTGACGTTATAGTAAATGTGTCGACTTCTTATACTGTTATAGTCTGTGGTTAGGATGCTAACATGCTGGTGTTTATGTTTACCATGTCAATGTATTAGTTCAGTTTGTAAGGTTGCCAACATTTGCTTACTAAACGTAAGCTAGATGAGGCCCATGGGAATGTTGTCAGTTTTGAAAGTATATAAAACCAATGCGTTAGACAAATGAACGTTTTTGATCTGATAGATGTCCTTGTGGTGTGTGCTAAAATGTATTTGATCATTCAGGACAAAAATGATCAATAAATAAATAAATTGGATTGATCCTCTGGGGACCATGACTGTCTACAAAATGTTATCCATCCAGTGGTGCATTGTTAAGATATTTGTAACATAAGTGTTGTAGTGCTATCATGGCCTATTAAAATATGCATGAAGAAGAAGCTGAGAACCAGATGTTGGTTTGTGAGCCTGAATAAAAAAACGCAGAAATGCTATTGTTCATTTTTTTACTTTATTAAGAATGGAATACAACAGCAGGACAAAAAGTCACAAGAACACCAAAAAAGTGAATGACCGATCAAATATCAAAGACAAAAAATTGTGACATTCTACTCATCAAAGTAAAAATAGCCGTGCAAAGATTGAAAGTATTTAGCAATTCAGATACAATCAAGTGGTTATCTCCTAAAGTATAACCCCATCAACACTATCTATGTCATCGGGACATTTTCATTAGTTGAGAGTGCTTATAGGGATGGGGGGGATCTATTTCATTAGACAAGGTCCAACTATTGATCAGGGATCAGCCAAAAACAAACACCACAATATTTACAATACAGAGATTAGCTTATCAAATGATTAATTTAGTTTATTGTTGACTGTTGGACTTATATACCGGTATAGAAAATGATGTTAAGTCGGCTCTTTGAAGTATAAGTAAACAATGAAAGCATACTCACTAGCAAACGATTTATAATAAATAGTAACGTAACACAAAAACATAGCAAAGATTAGAAAAAGCATGTCAGTAGAATAAAAACAGGTCAGCTCTCAGTTGCTCTATGGAAAAAGTAACAGCTACAGTACACATACAAAAAGCTCCGGGTCTCCATGGACTAAATGCATCAATTACATCTGTGCTTTGTAAACAGAATACTAGTATGAGAATCGTTTTCATGTTGAACAAGCAAACCTTTGAAAAAAGTGACTCAGCACTTTTCTAAGTTTCTCACATGCATACGTCACACACTGCTGTCAGTCAGACAGACTGAGCGGGGTTTAGTTCGTAGACAGGAAGAGGATTAACATTACTCAGATGTTAGGGAGGGAGTTAGTGTCATAGCTAGTGTTCGCATGGACCTCGGTTAAAGGAAGCAGGGTGAAAACATAAAGAAGCATCAAAGCACCGGGAGAGTGGTTATGGAGATAAACTGTACAGTATGTTAGAGTAAGAAAACCTAATTGTTAAGGAGGAATAAAGCCAAACGGAGCATGGTTAGAAGCAGGAAAGGAAATGGGGGTGAGCTACTGTCTTTCTTTATGGGCCGTGGTTAGCACATGGGCTTTGCAGACGCTGTATTATTTGGTTCAGTAGTAGCTGTGTGCGTCCTCTCTGGCCTTGTGTCCATCTCCTCCGTGTCTTCTGTGGCCGCGGCGCTCGTTGTGCTGACTGTGATGGTGGCGTCTGTACCGGTGTGACCGCCGGGCTGAAAGAGGGAGCAAAAAGGCTTTAAAGTTTATTGTGGCAGATACACAACTGTAATTTTATTCTTTCTTTCTTTGTACCTCTCCTTAACACATTCATCCTGTTAATTTAAGAAATATTTGAAGTAACCAATAGTTTGTACCAAAGCTTGACCAATACAGGACTTGAGACTTGAGCTGATATAGAACTCGAGTACAAAAATCCAAAAAAATTGAATTGGAAAATTGAGGTTTATTTTACATAGACACACAACAAAAATATTTTTGATAAGGATGCATTATACTGTATTTGTTTTTTGTGATTAAATGTATCGTATTTATCTGCTGCACTACCTGTATTGTAAGTTGTTCTGAATGTGAGCATAAAAAATGCAGGTCTAAATTAAACCATGGAAATCCAACACGAAACAGGGACAGAATATCAACACAAAACTATTTGATGGAGTGTCATACCACCACAAGACAGTAAAAGGCTATCATAAGAGTCAGAATTTGATAATAACTGATACAGAAAAAATGGATACTGATAATCTATAAACTCTTATCAGTAAGTAAAAAAGCCTTTACACACCTTTGCTCAAATGATAAAGGTTTAAACAGACACTCACACTTTGTGCAGATGATCCTGGGTCTCTCCCAGCTCCCGTCAGCCCGGCAGCGGGCGGTGGGGATGTGACGCTGGAAGAAGCCCTCGGAGCACTGGTAGCGAACCACTGCATGGATGTCGTAGTGTGACCTCCTGCGACCAATCAAATGGGCGTTCTCCACTGCGGGCGGGGTTCCACACAACACTGCCAAAAATAATTAAATCAAACCATATAAATCATCAAGATGAAGGTTGGCATATATCCATAACAATATACTGGTATACTGACACATATACTGTGGTGGCAGAAGTCTACATATGTATATAATAGTGTTAATTTACTCCACTTTTTCTGCATTAGGTACAAATCCCACCTCAAATTAAAGCTACAACTGGGGCGCCAGCTTCCTCTTGGGTTTAGAGTATACCTCCAATGGACTTTTTGTATGTTTCAATGTGTTATACATTTCATACATGTAGAGAGTACATACAGCAGGGGCTATGCGCAACATCCACATTTCATATGCATTTTGACCATGTGTACTTTTTTTTTCTTTTTCTGCAAAGTAGAATTCTGTTTGGCAGCAACTTTAGAAATGTTGCGATTCATTTGAGAGAAAAATGAAATAAACAACTCTTACAGTTTGAATAGGGTCCTCCGAATCTCATGGTGCTCAGACCATAGAAAGACAACTGTACTTTGTACCATATTCAGTATTGCGGGTGTGTATTGCCTCTAGGTGGCAGCTTGTTGCTGTATCTGAGCACTGTTGATGCCAGAAGGAGGTTTTGGGTCTTTGCAGCAGAGAGGGAGTGCAGCCAAACCACAGAGCCATGAGACCGCAGCCAGACAAACAAACACTCCTAAACTACTTAATCCTTTTCTCAACGTCCTACTCCATCTTTATCCAACCTTTTCTAACTCCTCTCGAGCATCCTCCGTTTCTCCATTATGTCCCAGTCTAAAGCTTTCTTTGCATCCTACAAGTTCCGCTGCATTCACATTCAGGTCGGCTCCCAGTCTGTCCACAGAGGGAAGTTGTGGGAGAGTATTAGGAAAACCTGGCAAAGCTGGCTCAGAGGAATTTCAGATCATATTTATGAACAAGAGAGTAATTGGCAATAACTGCAACTAACGGTTCTGCTGTCTGGACAACTGTAAGTGAGCCCTGAGGACGAACGGCAATAAGAGGAAGATTGAGATTGATATTGCTCTCGAAAATCAATACAGGTTGGACGCTGATTCACAATCTTCACTTAAGTTTGTGTTTAGATTTGTTTTTAAATCGAGCATCTGCCGCTGTGACCTTTAATGGAGAAAAAGTGGAAGTGATGCGAAACGGCTACTGAAGTCTGACCAACAGCTGAATGGTTTCTGTATATAGAGAGCACAATAAATGATGATGAGCATGAGCAGTGATGACAAACAGCCGCCATCTGGTCAGTGATAACATAATATATAAGCAACCACATTCTGTGAGGACGGCAACAAAATCTCTCCAAATGAATTGATTTAGCTTTGATTTGCTGGGAAAGTCACACTAGACCGTTTGGGTCCTGCTACAGTGAGTCCAGCAGCATAACAGTACCTGTGCCTTTCTTGCAGATGTAGGGCAGGTTGTAGTTGCAGGGCACATCGTTCCACTTGCCGTCCTCGTGGGCAATGGTCACCACGCAGTCCTCCCCACCTGCGAAGAAGTTATCTGGCTGGCCCTCCCTCCAGTTCTCATATACCTGAAAAACAACAGGATTCAGCAGAATTTGCTCTGTGAGCACTTTATGAAAGTTCAGGCATTTTTTTATTTTTTCTCTTAATAATAATAATAATAATAACTTGAATTGACATAGCGCCCTTCATAACCTCAAGGTCGTTTTACAAAGAAACATAAAAGGACAAGACATAAAACATAAAACATAAAACAGGGGGCTGAAATGGAAGTGTAGAGTGGGGGGGAGGGTGAGTTATTGTTGGAAGCGATGTTGAACCAGATGATGTTTTAAGGGTTGACGTGAAGATGTTGAGAGGAAGGGGCGTTGCGGATTTCAGCAGGGAGGGAGTTCCAGAGGGTGGGGGCAGCGACACTGAAGGCACGGTCCCCGAAGGTGCGGAGGCGTGAATGGGGAATGGAGAGCAGGCCGGAGTCTGAGGATCGAAGGGTGCGGGACGGGATGTAAGGGTGGAGGAGATCTGTGAGGTACTGAGGGGAGAGGGCATGGAGGGACTTGTATGTGAGCAGGAGGAGTTTGTAGGTGATGCGGGACTCTTAATAAAGTTGGGCAATTTATTAAGGGATTTCCTTATTTGTGTCTCTCTCTGTGCTTTTCTCACTTACATAACGTCTGCCTAGCTTAGCATTTAGCACCATTGGAATCCTAAGTCTGTCTGCCGATGTGTGAAAGATTCTGAAAAGTAAAATCTGAGGGGTGTTAAACTTTGATTCAATAACAACTGAGGTTGTTCCCAACAACATATATTAGTGGCCCTTAAAACTGGAGTTTGAGATGTTCACGAGAGCACAGTTCAGAACTGATCACTGACCAGATCGTTGCTGTCAGTCCACTGAAAGTCTTCCTCCACTGTGCGATCGTTCAGACCGAACCAGGCGTTGTCGTGTCCCAGACCTGTGAAAAACACAAAAAAATTAACTTAACTACTATTGTAAAAACGTTGATATACACACAAACTAAGAAACATACTGTTCTCAAATATGTTTAAACCAGGGCTGTTAATGTTAACGTGTTAATACTCGCAATGCATCTTGCAGTAAAAAAGGTAAGTATTTTATTGTTTATCCTGTTACGTTATTTGTCTTTGCTTAATGATATTTATGCTATACCCTTATTGTATATCATTTTAAGTGTATTTTCTTCTAGAATATACAAACATTTAGTTGAAACCAAAAACATTAATTTAATTTATTTTGGTGGGTTTGGTTTTGTGAGTATTTGTATTAGACAGAAAAACACCAACCGTTGATGAACTCCTGCTCAGTGGCTGAGATGACGCTGCTGAGGTGAGCGCTGTGCTCTCTGCAGTCTTTCTCTGCATCCTCCCAGGTGTGTCTGTGAGTGAAGTACCTTTGGGAAAACGTAGTGAAAGTGGTTATGAAAATACATATTTCATACATTACGCCGCAAGACAAGTTTAAATGGCAAAGAGCTCAGTGGTAAGTATATCAGGGATACCTCCAGGGTATAATGTAGACAGATGAGGCAGTACTGTGTTCAGGTTCATATATTTGCCAGTTTTTCACAATCTTTACCTGTAGCAGTGGCCGTGGAACTTCCTCCAACCGTGCTCGCAGCCTTCTACGTCTGTAAAGATGAAGAGAAAAGAGGAGTGGAAGTGAGAGAGCTAAAATAATTTCTTAAAAGGGCATTTAAGTAGTTAAATGCAGGAAAATGAAGTAACACCAAATGGTTTTAGAGAGGATTTTCTTTTACAGACCGTTGCCTCCCATTTGGCAAATAAAGACAAAAATATATGACTGTGGCATCTTGAAGGGCTAAATACATGAACTGTAATTACACAGGCTCGTTTCCAATTCACAGCACATGTGGCCCTCTCTCTGCACTATTAGTATTCATTAATAACACCAAAGCCAGTGGATTAATTTATAACTGCAAAGGTTAGATACTCATTCATTCTCACTACCACTAGTGCCACACACACACACACACACACACACACACACACACACACACACACACACACACACACACACACACACACACACACACACACACACACACACACACACACACAGGGCTAGAGGTGGTTAAAACCAGTGAGGTGATGAATCACTGACTGTTGGGATGAGTGTGTGGTTGGTGGGTTTGTGCCACCTACCACACAGACACACCTGAGATTAAATTGCATCTATTTGCTTATTATGGGCTGCCCAGCTCGTGTTAGTTGACTGATTTCTGCCGCAGCCCTGTTTTGATTACCACACTAATCCTGATTTGCCTACTTTGATTTAAGATTGCATTCATCAGACTTGTTTTGCACACAGCAAGTTCATTGCATGCTTTAAATTAAGGAACGAAGCCTGCATGCTTGTCTCTCTAGCTTTCCATCCTTGATTTGAATCATATCTGCTTACAGCTAGCCTGGCTGTGCAGGTTTGGACCACTAATAGTGATTTTGAGCCTGGATCCTGCAGATCAACAGTTATTGTCCACATCAAAAGCATGGAAGAAGATTAAAAGCCAGCAAAACACCTTTAATTAAACTACATACAATAAGAATTACTAACCCCAAAACAATATTACTATCTGATCAAACATATCAGAACTGTGTTTTTCTTTTATCATGGGTATAAGGATATACTGTATGTGTGCATATATGCTTACTGAAACCAGAGTGTATATTGTGTTGCCTGCAGAAATCTCAGTTAGTGTCTGCAGCCCTGTGACACACACTGAGACACTGTGTCTGACAGCAGCTGAGGAATGCATCTTTGTGACATTGTGTTGTGACATACAGCTGTAACAGGCACTGCCTACTGAGCAGAATATTTCCACCAGCAGTTAGCAAGGAACAAAGGGTTCATTTTTAAGAAAATATGTATTTTTTTCTTTATTCCTAGATCATGTTTGTGTGTGCAATTCACATAGTATCAATCAAACTAGTGTTGATCAAAAATCAAGTCCACCACTGCAGTTTCACACACAACAACTGAATGTGTTGATGCAGTGTTCTCATTCTCACCTTTCTCACACGTGTCTCCTCCATAGCTGGGCAGGCAAAGGCAGAGGAACGAATCAATCTTGTCAATGCAAGTGCCTCCATTTTCACAGGGCTCGGACTGGCAGTCATCGACATCTGTGAGGAGGAGAGAAGAAGAAAGAGAGGGCGGGTTGCGGATCTAATTTGAGTTCAGATTAAAAGAATGTATTCAGCTGGAGACATGTGGTTCATAAAGAAAGAGAACTGTGGGTGTTTGCTTCACATACAGACAAACGATGAGCGGGTAATTAGTCCTGGTTGGAACAGTGAAATGTGTTCATGCTGGTGAGTACAGTATCATAATGTAACTCCGACAATGTGTGATGAGAATACAGACATGTTTATCAGTAGAACTGCTTTACATTCCTTGTTTGCTCTCATTCTCTGACAGAGAAAGTCACTCTAAAAGCCTCTAAAAGCCTCTCCCATCCTTTATGCATTTGCAAAGCGTAAGGTTGATGTATGTCTTATTTCTTTTGTCAATTGTTTTAAACAAAGGCTGAATTTGGGAAGAACAATACGTTGCAATGGTTTTTCTTCAAAGCATTTAAAGTGTAGACACACTTCTGGTGGGATGGACAGCAGAGAGGGTGAATCTGAGCAGAGTGTCTGGGTTCAAGCCCCCTCTTTTCCACCATCCACCTACTGGAGAAGCCTTAAGCACCAACAGACTTCAGACCAGCTCCAGGGCTGCGGTGCTACTGTGCTCTCTGACCTCTCTGTGGAATAAAATGCGAGCAAAAGGGACATTTCTCCACAGGGATCAGTAAAGTATCACTTTATCATTGTAAATAGAAGCAATGTAATCTCCTTTCACCACGGTGAGTTCTTTTTGAACCCAGTACGACGGATACCCAGGACTGAATCTATTAAACTCACAGGTAGAGAGCAAAAAGAAAGCTCCTTATAAGTTTAAAAGCACCTCAAAGTATTTCCTCAAATCTTAGATAAAAGCTGAAAAGACTGAAAAGGGCAGTAACTATAAACAGCTAATTGTGTCGGAAAGATCAAACTGACCGTACAACTCAAATAAGACCTTCAGAGACGGTTGCAATGGCAAGGATTCTTTTCTGAAATAAATGGTGGTTTATCAATGAAGAACGTTGCAAGGTGTTCTTGAGTCTGTATGTTCAAAAGTGTTTTGCTGCTTCTTCAAAATGGTTAGGGATTGATCTAACTTTAATCTGACAGCACAGGTTGTCTATCTGTTTATACAAATGGCAGCTGAGGCTGTTTTTAGAGGACAGATATGGGAACTGAAAACAGAGATTTATGCTAATGCTTTTTCACTCCAACAGGCTCAAAGTTGTGCGATCGGTTAAACAATGTTGTTTGTCTGCAAGATAAAATAGAAATTGAAGAGAATAAGAACTCAAATGTCACTTTTCTTATTGAAGAAACCCTTCTTGACAGCTTGGTTCATTGGTTTATATCACGTAAAGACACACTGTGTAGATTTGATGACATGTTTTACATAATGAGGAATGACACAGTGAAACCATATCTGAGTATAAAATGCATCTTGGATTTATCAATCTATAGGGAAACTGTAAGAAACGGATGAAACAACTCTGATAACTTGAGTCAAGGAACGGATGTTTTAAATAATGATGAATTGAAACCTAGTGGTTGCAACTCAGCCTTCATTTCAATTGTAAAATAAACTCCAAATGTCAAGAGAAAATCTATCAGGAAATAAAACACGAGTGTTTTTTATAAAGTGTTTCCTCAAATTGAAAGAGAAGTTTTATTATATTAAACGTTTTTTTCTCAGGCCTCACACTTGTTAAATGCTTTAAATAAAACCAAAACTTAGCCTATCATTTTAAATGTCACACTGATATGAAATGCACCTGGACTTATTGAGACCTTGAATGACCTCTCGCTGTGTTGGTTCATAAGTAAACACACACCACCAACTCTTTCTATTAAAATCATACGAGCTCTTTGTTGTTGAACACAAAACATCTGATCCCCTCGTCCCTCTCATCCATTATTCAGAAGCTGCTCCTCAGAGAAATAATACTGCAAATTCTGCAAATCCATAACAGAGCCCTCCAGCATACCCACGCATCAGCTGGATGTCTGTCCGTCCATTCTGTGACACTGAACAGTGGCTCTCAGTTTGTTTGAAGGTGTTCACACCCAGATGAGAATGATTACATGACTGTGTGATGTTTACTTATTCATAAAGTGATACCTTCCATGAGGAATGGCTGCTAAAACAAGCTGATTATACATTATTGACAGATTACGACCCTTAAGGCAGATTTAAACCTCCATGTCAAAGCGTCAGTGTGCCTCTGTGCAGGTGCCTGCTTTGGGGAACTAGAGTGTCCCTGAATTAGGTATACAGTTGGGTTTTAAAGTTGAAGGTAGGTCACGAGGGATTAAATCTACAATCATTGACAACATCATGTCTTAAATACCTGAAAAAAAGGTTTTACTTCACCCCAATACAATGATATTATTCAAAGCAGGACTGCTCCTTGATTTCAACTACCTGAAATGGTCTACAACCATAACTATTAAAAGGGTAACTTTCTTTATATAAACAGTGAAAACATTTGAATTGACTAATTTGTAATGACTCATTTCTTAATTGTGAACCTTGCTGAGAATTTGTATACCAGACCAGTGACTTAAGGCCCAGATACACCGGCCCGAAATCGGCAGTAAATGGGAGTCGGGCCGAACATGAGCATGGGCACGCCCTATTCGGAGTGGTGTGCGCCGCACCGTCGGGTCTTTTCTGCCGACCTGGCGTCGGGAACACCACCGGAAGTCGGACAAAGGGATAACACTGATTGGCTGTTCAGCTAGCAAATCAGTGCATGAGAAGCGTTAACGGAAGTGAGGGAGGTAAACAAATGATTTAAAATAGAAGA